CAGTCTGCTGCTAATAAATAAAAACACATTTATTTTCACCTCGCTCTCCGCCTGGTTACTATGGAAACGCTGCACCTCCCTCCTAAGGGATTCTAGTTCCAGAAAGGCACATGGGAGGGGGAGGAGCCTTCGTCATATGTGGGAGGGAGCAGCACACGGAGCCAATCGGTTGTACTGCAGGGCTCATAGCCGTGCTAACAAGAAGCGTGCTGATAGGAGGAGAGAGCGGAGTGACAGGTGAGCTCATCATTCTGCTGCTTCTACTTCTGTCCAATCACAGGCTGGGGGCGGGACCAGAGCTGTGTACATCTCAGGACTGGATGGTCTGTCGGCACCTCCGGAGATTCTGGGATCAGATTCTCGCCTGCTGCTGACCTGAGTCCTGATTTGCAGTGGGCGGAGTCTGTAATTGCTGTGATCACATGACCTGAACTGGTGGTGTGGGGAGGTGCACCCCCAGCATACCTCTCGGATTTGTGGGCGGTGCCTATTTTCTGATCTCATCACATGACCTCGGGTCTGTTTGTATATTAAAAGAAGTTCCGGTACATGGAGCCCCTCCCCCCCGGGGGCTCCGCTGACGCATTTCACTCAGTCTGAGTTGAAGGATGCAATACGGCCCAGCTCCACTCCTAGGAGAGCCTAATTGCAGTCTGTGCTGGCCCAGCTCCCCTGCCCTTCCTAGGAGAGTCTAATTGCAGTCTGTGCTGGCCCAGCTCCCCTGCGAGTTTGATTAGTCTTTGCTGGCCCAGCTCTCCTGGGAGTGTCTGACTACAGACTGTGCTGGCCCAGCTCTCCTTTCCCCCTCCTGGGAGTGCCTGGCTACAGGCTGTGCTGGCCCAGGTCCCTCCTACTCCAGGGAGAGTCTGATTGCAGTCTGTGCTGGCCCAGCTCCTATGCAGCCAATTGCCTTCTTCCCAGTGTCAGGGTGGGAAAACCTGGCTGGTTGCCATGGAAATGACGGGTGCTGAGCGGCCGGAACAACCAATCAAACTTTCTCTAGCGACAATAAAAGATGAAACGTGATTGGTTGTGGCCAGAGCTCCGCCCCAAAGATATGAAATGATGCCCCTCCCCTTAAAATGAACCTGTCATCCACCATTACGGAGCCCTTCTCTGGGTCACATGAGCAGTCGTGGAGGCGGGGCTTATGACACTATACAGGAAGCCCAGAAGGTGACTCCTCCCACAGTGAGCGAGCGCAGCCGCCACCTAACACTGACCCCGCCCCCAAGAAATTGCTCTCAGCAGCTGATTGGCTGCACTCAGGTCAGGCACATGGCTGCTCTAACTCCACCCACAAGAGGTATTGGCCGCTCAGAACTCCTCCACTAGCTCCGCCCCCGAGGAGAGATCTGGGCTGAGACCCGCAGTGCTCGTTGGGGGTCCGGGGAGAATCTCCACCGCCGGGGGTAACAATGAGCTCAGCCTGAGGTGGGGACTTCGGTGGAGCGGGATTTCCGGTCCAGGTGACAACGCTGTGACCAGTGAGTGTCTCCCCCTGCACACTGCTCTGCCTGGAGAGACCCTGTCCGCGATCCGGGACACGTGACCTCCATCCCGGCCCCGCCCCCGGGAGTGATGTCACCGTCCGACTCCGCCCCGCCCGCAGACATGGGCGCAGAGTGACCCAGCCGGGCGAGCAGTGATGTGGGGCGCCATCCTCATCCTCCTTCTTCTCTACTGCCGACTGGAGACCCTCCCGGGGGCCCCTCCTGCCCGACCCGGGCCCCACCAGGTGAGCGCTACGATCGATACTGCTAGAGTAACGATCGCTACTAACTTACATCGCTCCTTATCAGTCCGGGGTGAGCGCAGAGAGGAGTGCGGGGACAGAGATGACCATGATACAGTATGAAAGGTGAGGATGATGATGATGGAGGTGGTGGGGATGATGATGATGATGGTGGTAGTGAGGATGATGGTGGTAGTGAGGATGATGGTGGTAGTGAGGATGATGGTGGTAGTGAGGATGATGGAGGTAAGGATGATGGAGGTGGTGAGGATGATGGAGGTGGTGGTAGTGAGGATGATGATGATGGAGGTGGTGAGGATGATGGTGGTAGTGAGGATGATGATGGTGGTAGTGAGGATGATGATGATGGGGGTGGTGAGGATGATGATGATGGTGGTAGTGAGGATGATGATGGTGGAGGTGAGGATGATGGGGGTAGTGATGGAGGTGAGGATGATGATGGTGGTAGTGAGAATGATGGAGGTGAGGATGATGGTGATGGAGGTGGTGAGGATGATGGTGGTAGTGATGATGATGATGGAGGATGAGGGTGATGGTGGGAGGGCTCGTCTGGATTGTGAGCTCTTGGGACGAGCACTGACCTTATCTGTGTGCAGGACTCCCCGAGGTCAGAGGTCACCCCGGAAAGCCGCGGATCAGCATCACAGGAGCCGGAGGACGGCGGGGGGGAGGCGGCTCCGTTCATCTTGGACCTCCAGAGCTTATTGGGGGCCAATCTGACCTCCCAGAACCCCAACATCCAGGTGAGACCCCAACGGGGGAGGGGACACTGAACCAGCACCACGGCTCCGAAGAGGGGCGATATTTGGGGGTCACTGTGTGGACATAATTTGGGGGTAGGGTGATATTTCGGGGGTGGGGTGATATTTGG